CCCCAAAACCCCAAAACCCCAAAACCCCAAAACCCCTTTTTTGGAAAGATAAATTGACAGTTTATAACTAAGCCTTGCTGTTAATTCAAAGGATTTCAACAAGATTGGCTTGGCTAATAGTAAAACTTATAATAAGAGATTATCATAGACATGAATCTTAGATCATCAATAGCTAGTCATGCAGAGATAACTTACACTCGATTTAGGAATTATAGAGTCAAGGGATCAGCTTCAAGGTTTCTGTTTACTCATTACTTCCCTGTCTTCAAATTTGTCAGTACCAATCTTTGGAGGTCATTGAGGTAAGACCTACACAGTCGAAATGAAACCACTCAATTGGTCAATTCTTACTATCTCAGGCAACCATATCGCCGAAAGAAATTGTCTGGCAAAAGCAAACTTCTTCAGGATCTTTAGTTCCGAAATTATGGTTGGACTCAACCAAATAATTTCTCATATTATTCCGAGAGATCAGCTCTTCTTGCTTATTTCGCTGCCTCATCAAGTTCAAGAATTTTGCAGATTTCATTCTTTATCTTGGGCTTAGGAACTCGCTTATATAGCTTTGGCGGAATAATTTCGTCTTCACCAGTAGCTTCCCTCAAAATTTTGGATTTCCTCCTCTTTCTCTTAGATTTTCTCAGCCCTGCTCCTGTTGAAGAATGGGTTGAAGTTTCACCAAGATTTGAATTCTCTTCCTTTAGAACCTTTTCCTCTTCTTCAGATAGTTTAACTCTTTTAAGCATCGGAGAAGATTCGAAAATTGATAAGGAATCCATTCTGGAGGGAGACTTAAAATAGTTCATTCCGGATTTTGGATCACTCTCGCTATTAGTCATTAAGGTCTCTCCTCATGACTGAGAATCAGCTCCTTGCTTTATCCTTCAACCCTTACTTCTACTAGAGTAGTAGTCACTTGCAGTTCGGAGTGAATCTTTGGACATATTATCAGATTTTAAGTACTCTAAGGCTTTAGATGGCCTTATATTATTTCTGGACAGATAGCTTTCCCTCTTTTTAGTCTGAATATTAACTCTTTCTAGCTCTTTATGAAGGATATTGACGAGATTTGATCAAACCTCAGATTTCTGAGTTGATAAATCTTTTATCTCACTATACAATTTCCTGATCATTTTGGCTTGCTTGCTATTACGAGCTCTACTTCTTGCAGTAAATTTACGTGAAAGAGTCAGAAGTTTTCTATTTTTCTGCTTAAGTAATGTGCCAAGCTTTTTGAGAGTTAATTGAGCCCTTGTGACTTGGATAGATATGGGCACTCACGATGCCATTAATCCTTCCGGCTCGTTCATTTTAATAATAATTACAATCTGATTGTCCGACATAGGGGTTTTGGGGTTTTGGGGTTTTGGGGTTTTGGGGTTTTGGGG